TGGGAGCACCCTGCTCGGGTGGAGGGTGTCCCTGCCTATGGCAGGGGGTTGGAACTAGATGGATCTTTAAGGTCCCTTCCAACCCAAATCTTCTGTGACTCATTCCATGAAGCAGAAGAGTGGCAAAACCAGGCACAAAATTGAAATATTTATCTCCTGGGTTGTATGTACTGAGCAGTTTTCCCTCTCCACGTGTGTTTCCGTATGACACGGGGCACAGAGGAGCCCACGTCTCAACTGGCGCCTGTAGGCCCTGCTGCGACACAAACAAAATAAGCGACAACCCTGACAGGAAATACCACAGTAATTCCCTTCGTTTCTGGAATAATTTCTTCTCCAAGATACTTGTACCGGCATTTCCTCCAGCCCTGCTAACAAATGGTATTTTACTCTTTCTTGTCATCTGCCTCAGAAAGGAAAAAGCAAGGCCACCACAGCTGCCACAAACCCATCACCATCTTCCCAGGCTTTCCTTGAGGTATTTTTAGAGCTCCTTCCTCAAAACTTCTAATTTCACAAAAAGACCACAACTGCCAAGCTTCAGAGGAACCTCTGAGGGGAGTCAAAGAGGGGGACAGAAGGCAACTGCTCCTGCCCGCTTGGCTGGGAACCATGCACCCCAGCAGGCTCGGCCAAGCCCGGCCCCCGGAGCTGGAGCAATCAGCGCTGTGCACTGGTTTAGATTAAGGAAAACGTTGGAAAAAAAAATGGAAAAAGTGCTTCCAAATGAGGTGAATCATGATCTTATACAGAGATCCCTGAAGAGCTGACTGCTGTTTGTAATAAAAGCACACAAGGAGACCAGGAAAACATGCAGTTAGACCTAAAATGGAAGCAGCTTTAGAGGAACAGAAGGTACTGGGTACACTCACTGCTGAACATCCAGAGAGTTGATCAGATTGGGGTATGGATTTAAGCTGATTGATGCCATGCCCATGGGCAAGGGTGCCTGATTGCACAGGGACACCCTCGCTACATCACCTTGATGGCACTGACTGCAGGCAGGGACCCAGCAGAAGTGACAGCCCCTCCACATCTGCCTGTGCACCAGCATGGCACTGAGAGCTGAAGCACCTAAAACATCACACTGCAGAATCCCAGACCAGCACCAAGTTCAGACTCCCCCATCATGTCCTCTCCTCCTCCCCCCAAACTCAACTGCCATGAGAAATGGTATTCTGGTTGGACCCCAGCTCTGTGGCTTGCTTTTTAAAGCTGCTCTTGTAAAAGCTAACCAGAGGATAGCTCTGCCCATGCTGAGACACCAGAGGGACAAGGGCTTTGGATCACTTCTTCCACCCAAATCCATGGCTGCCTCACAAACCACCTGGGACAGTCTCCAACTCCAGCATTCTGAGGTCAAGAGAGGCAGGAAAAAATCATCACAAGAGACCCTCCTCTTTCCTTCAGCACTGCACCAAGGGGCTCATTCCAGCTTTGCTCTTACACGCTCACAAGACCTTGGCACTCACTTTGCCTCAGTTTCCCCCCTAGGTAAAACAGGGACAATGACAGAGACCTACTTCCACATGCTGGAGGGTAGGCAGAGGGATTATTTTCACTTCTCTAATTTTCTACTTGTTGGGTTAGGAAACAATGAGAAAACCCTGCCAAGCGGTGCAGCTTTCAAGCATTAGTGCTCTAGTTACCCCTTTGTACCAAAGCCACAAAGCAGTGGGATTTCTCTTCAGCTTCTGGCTTCAGCCAAGAGAAACCAGTACTCCAGGGCCAGGCTTGAGGGGACTTCTGCACCTCCCTGAAGAGCACATTGTTTGCATTAGTCCTGTGCTCGCCCCTGCTTTTAGCAACAGGACGTTCGTTACAAGCCAGACAGCTGGACCACGTCCCTAAACCGCAATAGGAGATGACTAATCCGCGTCATTAGGAATTATCTGCACAGAACCCCCATGCGCTCTGGGTTATTCAGCAATCAGACAGCAAGGGTTTTGTCTGGGACTGCCCCCTTCTCCTCTTGGGGGGTGGAAGCTGTGACATATCCTGGCCCCCCTGGATCTTTACAGCTCTTTTCCTCTGAAAATGCAAGTCCAGCACGTGAGCAGCTCAGGGGCCAGTGGCAAGATGATGTCTAGAAGGTTTGCTGCTCCCTGTTACAGATGTTTTTAGTCTACACTGCAGCAGAAATCACAGGCTTCAAAATGTTTATCCCTGGCAGGTAACAACTGTTTTCCAGCTGTATTTCTCCTTACTATTACCCTCTTAGCACCCAAGTCAGCCCCACACACAGACAAGGAAAAGCTTCTTCCTGAACTCCTCAGGACGCTACTGTCTTTGCCATCTCCAGCCAAGGCTTTCCCAGTCAGTGCTGCTCCCGTCTTGGTCCCTTGCTTCTGTTCCCAACGTGAGGCAAGCCCTGCAGATCTCACAGAGATTCCCATCTTCAAGGTGGTATTTATGGACACCCCCATCCTGCTCCCCAATGGTAAAACAGAGGTTATAAAATCAAACTTTTAGGCTGCTTGAAGACCTACAGAGAGCCCTAGAACATGAGCTGTATTTTATTCTAGTTATGAGCAAGCCTTGTCCTGCCAAAGAAACAAATCCAGAGGTAATTTACCAAAAGAACAACTTCTAGGTCAGTCTGACACTTGTTGTGCATGGGAAAATGTTCCTCATAAATAATGGACTTTATTGCTGTGGGAGAGCTTGTAATCAAAGTTAACACGACAGAGGAATTGGTAGCTGTCATCAGCTGTGATAGAAGCCCACACCAGTGCCTTGTTATTAGACTGAAGTGCACCACTGACAACCAGCTTCATACTGTGAGTTGCCAAGTGCTATTTATATAAATAAATGGACATGCACATAAATAGACAGATGCAAAATAAATGTTAATATAATCGCTCCTTTCTCCTCCATGCTTTTGTTTGGGATTTCTAATTCTTTGTGGTTTCCCTTCTTATCCCACTCATCTTTTTCCTCAGTAATCACAATGCAGATCTTTATTCTGGTGTTTCCTCCTTCCCCTCTTCAGAGCCACTGATATAAACAAACTCCTTTGTCTGTTCAGTCCAGGAGACTGCCTGCAAAGACTCCTTCCAGCTAGAGGATGCATGAGGAATAACGGAGTGATAAAGGAAATAATAGTGCAGAGGATGCACTAGCAATAGTGTCAGACTGATCCTTCTGTGCATTCCTCCATGTACAAAGAACAGCTCCTTTTTAAAGATTGTGACTCATGCAGAAGGAAAAGGGTGTCCATCTCTAACCCTCTACCCTGTTTTCTCACAAGGCAGAAGGGCAGCATGACACAGAAGCTGACACACCTGACCAGGACTCAGGAGTTACAAGCTCAGCCACCAGATCTACTGCCAGCTGCCTGGGCAATCTAAGTTTGGAGACTCATCTGCACCATGCATCAAGCATTGCTGTTCTAATTTACAGCTTGTTCTACCATGAGGCATTAGACATCCAGAAACCTAGCCTTGGTTCTAAATTAATTTGTAAGGAAAGTAAACTAAAACCAAAGAAAGATTGTTTTATGCAATTTGCCAAAGTATGTTCATTTCGTAAGATGATCTGAAGCAAAACTGACAGTATTTTGGGGAAAAAATACTGTGCAGCACACACCACCACAGACCTTTCTTGTGTGGCCCAGGCCTACCAGGAATACTCTCTGTCAGGCTCCAAATTTCAACTTCTGTCCAGAGAGCATTAAGGAACCCCTCCAGGAGACAAGGATGAGATAGCACTTTGTTTGTGCTTCTCTGTGGACCAAAAAACTGCTGCGAGCCACAAAGGGACAAGCTAGTTAGTCAACACATTCTTGTTTATAAAGTGTTTTTCAGTGGAAATTTGGACCACTGACTGAAGGATTCCCATGCCTCAGAAAAGCATTTTTCCACAGAAAAGAAAAAAAAAAAAAAAAGTTTTTTAATCTAACAACTGAACGTCCAGACCCAGGTATTTCAATGTCAGCACGTTGTTGAAGGGCCTCGCAAGAGACACGTACATTGAGATTCCCAAGAGGAAAACTTAGCATCTAAATGCCCGCCCCATGCCTCACCCACCCTCCAAGAAGGGAGCCTGCACAGTGCATCCTTCAGCCCAACCAGCCAAACTGATCACAGAAAAAAAAAAAAATAGACAAAAACCAAAAGGGAACACCAAGTATCAAAGGAATAACAAATCACAGGCATGACACCAGCAGTTCCAGAGGAATCTTCTCCCCACCCCCATCAATGTCTGTGCTAAAACACAATGGAAAAAAAAAAAACTAAAAGTGACCCAAGCAAGTTGATTAAAAGCTTTTGAGCTGCAAGCATGAACCAAGTTCCCAGTAATCCCACGTACTTTGGCCACTCCCCACCTCGCAGACTAGACGTCCCACGAGCCAGACTTGTTCTAGCTAGTCCAATTTAGTGAAGCAACAACTCAATGCACTCTTAACGCCCTTCATCTGTCTCATGGGGCCTGCTGCTCTGAGTCCTCAATCCCGGATGCGCCAGGAGAGCAGGATGCTGACAGTTTGTATCTTCTCCATCAGAGAGCTCCGGGTAACAACGGGCACGCAGCTACATCTATTCCGCTTATGGATAAAAAGAAAAATCATACAGAAAGCCCTGTTTTTCCAAGCATCAATGTTATGATTGGCAAGGAAAGTGTGATTCCTAATACAGTAAGATTAAATGTTAGTGGCAGACAACAATTCTAAAGCTGGTATCAGAGCACAACATAACTCTATTGGTGATTTGTATCTTCTTGTATCTTCCACTCTGAAGATAAAGAGTGGATGGGCTGTGGATACTAACATGATTGTAAGATGTCAACATCATGAAGCTGCTGTAGATCAGAATTCAGGCAATGAAATTATTATATTCCTTATTTTTGACTAATTATCTGGTTAACTGTGCATCTGCAGCATTTACTGCAACAGTTTCCAAAAACAACAGCAGGGATTTTTCCCCATTGTGAGAAAACAAATATGTTATTTAAGAGAAGTCTAAAAAGCTTTGCTGTTGTGAAAGCAACCCGAGATGGCTTGGTATGGTCCCCACCCATCAACTTGCAGAGAGTGCTACCCTCAGAGCCATCCAAAGCTGTGCTGGACTGTCCGCTTTGCCTGCAGCTGGAGAAAGCCAGCTCAGAATTTCTCTGGTCAGTTCTGCAAACATCTTGGCCTTATTTCAGCATGAGCTGAACACAAATCCTGTGATTCAACTTGGACAGCTGCTACCACAAGGACACACTTTAAAACAGACATGCTACGTGCGCACGTGTTTTCGTCTGCATGTGTCTAGGAAGTCTAGAGGGATTTGGGAAAGGATTTTTTCCCCTCTGTATCCAGAATTCTTTTTTTGCAGCACTAGTGCCATTACAATACGCATGGCAATGCATATATGTGTGCATATATATGTGAATGACAGTCTTCTTCCCTGCTAGGCATTCGGCAACTGCAGAGTTGATTGCAGGCTTATTCTAAGCCATAGCACTAGAAGTGGAATTCCAAATGATTTGCTTGCATGCTTCTCCAGAAGCTTCCCACTCCTCATACTTATTTCCCCCCTTTTTTTTCTTGCTATTTTGACAACTTAATTCTCTCTTCACAACTTTTGTGTTCACATATTTGTTCTATACACCAACAGGCTATCAAATCCACTTCAGCTGTTATATCAGTGTCAGGGAATAATTTCTGACATTGCTCAAGGGACAACGCTTTTGCTCACCACATGAGCTCTGAATGTGCAACAGGGCCAAAATATTTGGTTTTAGGAGCATAAAGATAAACACCAGTAATTAATATTTAAACACTTTATATAATAATGGCATTATTCCTCCCAAAAGAGCCTTGTTGTCTTCAGCAAAAAGTTGGCAGCCTGACTTTCAAATATCTGAAGTAAAATGTGCACATAATAAATACTGTATTTCATCAACGCTGTCAGTAGAAAACATCTGAGTAATCCAAATCTTAGAGCTGCACAGCCTGTACAAGTTCTACTACTTTCAGTACTCAGGAACAAAAAAGTGCCTTGGGGTGGAATCTGAGATTTAAACCAGTTTCAGGCTCTACTGCTGTATTTGTGCATGATCTGGGGTATCGCTCCTCTCCTCTGTCCCTCCATTGCTCCTCCCTGATATGGGGATGCCTGTAGCTTCTGAAAATTATGTTATTTCTGATGTGCAGAGCTCCTGCAGCACTTATTAACTTCAGTTCTAATATTTAAACTCTGTTCTCCAAGCATGGTAAGCACTATGCCCACCTCTTTGGTCTACTGCAGTTTGGGATGGACTCAAGCCATGCCTTCCTTACCTGTTTGCTGGTGTGAACACTGTTTTTATTTCTGTTGTTGTCCAGCAGCCCCCCACATTTGCCCAATGCTGCCAAATCCTTCATAATAGAGTTCAGAGCTGCTTCTTCATCTGCAAAAGAAGGGGAGACAATTGAAGTGCGGAAGGCAACCTCACCATTGGAAGAGTAAAAATATAACACTGCAAATACAATCTTTCGGCCCAACTGGGTCAAAAGACACAATGTCTAGCCTTCATGTTAAGAGAGACATTCAATGAGTACATAACAGTCCCTCCCAGCCCACCATGTCTTGGAAATACAGGTTTCTTCATCACTGGTAGGTCAGATTCTCAGAAAAGCCAGTGGCTCCTGGCTCCTCCTTTTTGACACTTTTACATCTACAGTTGCATACTCTTATACCTTAACTATTACATTGCAAAATACCAACCACAAGCACTAAAAAGCCCTATCAAAACCTAGAACACAGCACACTCATCAGGAGAGTGTGAGAACCTGTCACATGCTCCGTGTTCATGATGATACAGTCAAGATGGGCAGGTATTAGGCACGTGCAGTTATCACTATAAAAATACAAATACAGCTACTGCCTTTTGTGTAAAACTGGGTGTCTCTGGGGACAGAGCCACCCCTATGCCAATCCAGCATGCAGACTTAACTCAAAGTCTGAAAGATGATAAAAACTGTATGAAATCAGACAGGACAGGACCTGAACCATTTTCCTCAGGGAAGCGTATGTCCTGAATCCTCCTGCTCAGATACAAGCCATCTCTTCCCCCGCTCCTCCTGCTGCGTTTTATACGGACTGAAGTTGTAAAAAACAAATAGATGCGAGAAAAAGACTTCTCGTGCATGCTGTGCACCCAGAGGCATCTCATTAAAGAAATAAAGGAAAAGCAGGGGAAAAATGTTTAAAATCCAGTGTCACTTTTATTTTAGAGCTCATAAATTAGCTCTGATGCCTACAGTAGGCATTAGGAAAATGCCTGCATTTTCCTGTAGGCAATGTGTGTGCGAATGTATTTGAAGTATAATATAAATATATGTCTATGTATCACTATTAAATATGTAATTAATAACATAATTCATTTTTAAGTGCAATTCCCCTTCCTTTCCACATTTCCCTACCCACTAAACCCCACAGGTATGTTTTTCCCAGAGGGGTGTCAGGGAGCATAACCTGAAATGCTACAGGAAAACACCCAAGAAAAAGACAACTTTCAGTTCTACTCAGGGAGGGAAATGAAACTACATACATTTTGTTAAAGTTCACATAGTTTGAGGTTTGGGTGGGGCGGGGTTTTGTTGTTGTTATTGTTTTGCTTGGGGAGTTGTTTGTTTGTTTGATAAGGGCACCTCTGGGGACAAGCACAGTTTTCCAGATTTGGTAGCAGGGAAAAAAGGCAACACAAAAAAAAGAAAGAAAGAAAGAAGGAAAGAAAGAAATAAAAACCAACAAAAACCACACTTTTTTTTGGAGGGGGAAGACAAGTGGGGAGGGACAAGTTAAAAAAAACCCCAAACAAAAACAAAAAAACCACACACCACCCTCCAGGAATTTTCCACCAAAGCTGTAATCTCTAAAATGCCCCTCACCCCTTTCTTTTTTCCAGCCCGAGTGACAACAAAAGTTTCCTGAACTCACTAACACAAAACGCAGTCTGTAACGTCACCAGGAAACAGGGCTTCAACAAGCAGTGGCAGAGCTGAGCTTTGCTAGCAAAACCACCCGATTCACCATCGCTCTCGCACCTCCAAACCTCCCTTGACATGCCTGGCAGCATCTTTGAGGAGATCTACCTCTGGTTAACCCACCAGTGCCCTGCAAGGATAGTCCAGAACTTATAATCACAGCCTGGTTTGGGTTGGAAGGGACCTTAAAGCTCCTCCAGTTCCAACCCCCCTGCCATGGCCAGGGACACCTTCCATTAAGACCAAGTTGCTCCAAGCCCCATCCAGCCTGGCCTTGATGATGGGGCAGCCACAGCTTCTCTGGGCAACCTGTGCCAGCGCCTGGGGCCAGCCACAGCTTCTCTGGGCAACCTGTGCCAGCGCCTCACCACCCTCATAGGGAAGAACTTTTTCCTAATATCTAATCTAAATCTCTCCTCTGTCAGTTTAAAGCCATTCCCCCTTGTTCTATCACTACAGGCCCTTGTCGAAAGCCCCTCTCCAGATTTCTTGTAGCCTCCTTCAGGCACTGGAAGCTGCTCTAAGGTCTCCCTGGAGCCTTCTCCAGGCTGAACAAGCCCAGTTCTCTCAGCCTGTCTCCATAGGAGCGATTCAGTGCTGCCTGTCCCAAGGAGGGACAGCAGGGTATGCTGGAGGTCAGTAGTAATAATAATAAACCAACCGGGACAGAGTAGCTTCAAAGTTTTCTTGAGTGACTGTAAGCTGCTCCCTCCATCCCTCCCCAAGATAAAGACCCGGCAGCCCCAAGAGCTCACCCAAGCCCCCTGCAGACCACATCCCAGACAGCTCCCACCACATCCCACAAGTACCTGCAAGAATTAATCATGCAGATGAGCAATAGCACTGAAGACAGCAAAAAAAAAAAAAAAAAAAAAAGAGAGAAATCTTGGAGCTGAAGTGGCTCCTATCGCTATTGCCACTAGAGACGTGTATTCAGGGTCACTGCTTCAGTGTTATTTCTACAAGGTAGGTGACCTGGTCACTCATATGGACAGTAGTCACAAGAGATCGCAATGCAGTTTCAACAGAAGGAAGCCGGAAGTGAGCAACCCTGCAAAACATGGAGACACTGCAACTGGAAATCACCTCTGCTGCATGTACAGAAAGCCTGGATGTCCATAATGCCTATCCCACCATGCAGGGCTTATGCTGGCCACCAAGTCAGGGTAATCAAACTGACTTGTGACAAGTTTTACTGATTGACAAAGGAAGGAAGGCAAATATCTCATAGACTTCTGTCTTCTCCTTAAACATCAAGGGGTTTCCAATGTTCACAAAAGGTTTGGTTTATACTACATTGCCCTCAAAGCACTGAGTCTTCCTCCTCTACTTACCCATCAACTTTGTGAAAACTTTTTGCAACAGTCTGAGTCCATCAAACACAGGTTTAAAAATTCCTGGTGCTGCAGCTCCAACTGCGTAATTATGGAAGTCATGTTCCCTTACAAAACTTCAGGCTACAGATCTCTGCCAGAAGTGCCCTTTTGCATCTCTCCCAACACAGCAAAGCAAGAAGCATCCTCTCACTTTCAGTTACTGCTTAAAATTAGCCCACTTTCAGAAACAATCAAATTAATCAGCCAAGAATCAGTGGTGTAAAACAGGGCTGAGCTGGCCTGATTCAGGCACTAGAAGAAAATTAAGAAAATAAGATATTTCTTTTATTTAGGCTGTTCCTCTATCTACTAAAAAGCTGATGTCAAAGAACACCCAGAAGAACTTACAATAAAACGTGTCACTTCTCAAAAAAAAAAAAAACCACCAAAAAAACAAACCCAAAATACACATCCATGCCATCACTGCTACAAAATAAGGGAAGAAAACTTCTTCCTACATGAGCAGGAAAGGTTTTCTGCTGCTGGAGTGTGAAAGAACATGACTTAAACACAAGCAGAAATACGTTATTTCCTTGAAGTAATGTATTCCTATGTGCTTAAGTAGCTTTTAAACAACTTTTACTATGTGTTTTTAGTCTAAGAGAAGTGCAGTTTCAGAGGGACTATGACCAAAAGCCTCAATTGTTCAAAACAAAGTGGAAAAAAACCCCACACCATGCTCTGAAGCAACTTCCGAGCAGGAGCACGATTTGCATCACTGGTTGCAAAACGGACACTTCCCAGTCCTCTCCATGACAGCTTTTCACAGGGACTGATGCTTTCCAGACTAAGGCTCTTGCCCATCTTAATTACTACTCTTGGGGTCTCCAAGCTGACTCCCAAGAAGGGTGGAGAACGTTGTTCCATGGAAATAAGCAGCCAGCTCAGCCAGTTCAGTCAAAATTCGAACAAGCACTGAAGCTTACTGGATGATTAAATACAAATGCCACTCCCAAGCCTCTCTGGCAAAAGGGGTGTCACAGGCTGTTTGCTCTCTGGCTTGGTTTGAGCAAGCAGAGGGTGCAGGATGGATGGCTATTGCAGGGATTAAATGTAAGGAATCATCAGGAATCTCATGCCCAAGAGACATGCAAGATCAGGTTCTCCTGATCTAGCACTGGCAGGACCCAAGTATGCTTCAGTCTTGTGAGAAGGCAGCACTGAGATTACACAGAAAACATTCCCAGGCTTTGCCATGGCTCCAGAACTGAACAGCTGCAAGTTGCACACAACCAACGAAGTATCCACAGAGCTCAGATGGAGTTGACTCATGGAAACCACTAAGTTTGTGCAACATGAGCAGGTTCTTGCTCCTGAACAACCTTCTTTACTTGGTCACTCATACGGACAGTAGTCACAAAAGACTGCAGCTTCACTCTTGCACTGTTTCGTACAAATTCACTTAAGGTATTGTACGTTAACAGGATGAATTGTACAAAGCCTGCTCTCTCTCCCCAGCACAACATGTTAACAAGAGTATTTCTAACATGGAAGTCCAGAACAAAAAAAGAGGTGATCACACAGACAGCAGGA